GGCAGTATATCAAAACCTTGAGGGCTTTATGCAGAAGGAGCAAACTGGATAACGGAAATCCAGCTCAGGCTTAGAGAAAACAACTCCAGTTCTACCTGAGCTGAGGATGAGACCATGGGTAAGTCCCCTCTTTTCTCTGGGCTCCCGTGTGCTCCTCTGTAGAATGAATGGGACAGGGGACCAGCAGCTGGTGCAATGGTTACGCCCCATGTAGTTGGCCATAGTTTGAGTCCCAGTTCCAGTGAGGTCAAACTCACACTGAATGGGAGACCAGCAGCTGGCGTAATGGCTGTGACACTGGACACCCATGTAGTCAACCACAGTTTGAGTCCCGGACCCGGAGGTTTAAACTCACGCCAGGTGTGTGTGCATGCGTGCCCAAGATCCCAAGAGGAAAATGGAGGAGAAGGGATTGCGGCGTGACCATCCCCCCTGAGGGGTGGTTTCTCGCTTTCTGTCTCTCTGTCTCTGTCTGTCTTTCTGGCAAGTGCCTGTGCCCTATTGCAAAAACCTTTCAAAAACAGAAACAAAAACACCTCATCAAATGTATGTGTGTGCATGCCCAAAATCCTGAGAGGAGAATAGAGGAGAAGGGATTGTGGCATGACCATCTTCCTGGGGGATGATATCTCTCTGTCTCTCTGTGTCTCTCCAGCAAGTGCTCACACCCTATAGCAAAAATCTCTCTAAACCAACACACAAAGAGAATGGGGCAGAACAGATCATTTATAAGGTTCTTTCTTACTGAGGCTTTCCAAGGCACAAAGTTCAATATTAGAAAATAAACCATCAGCCAGCCCTGGGGCCCAGTGGTTAAGGGAGCCGGATCCCACGTGGCTGACCACACAATTCGAGTCCAAGCTTTGGCAGCCTGCAAAACATGCCAGGCACCTGTGCAGGCATGCCCCCAATCCCACCAGGATGGAAAAATGGAGAGGAAGTTGCAGCGAGACCATGCACCATAACAGCTCCTTTCTCCCTCTCCCTCTCTCCGGCAAGTATGAAAATGCCGTGGGGAAGGGAAGGGAGTGTACCTCCTGCTCTGTCTGGGGGCCAGTGCTCTGGAGCTGATTCCCGTCGGGGGCCCCACCTCCCTGGCTTGTGCACCATCACCTGCGTGTGCGTCATTCACACACCTTGTGCACACAGAGGCTGTGCTTGCCCGGGGCCTCTCTCCACAGAACCGGGTAGAGAGGGGCAGGTACAGCGCGTCCTCCAGGCTGCAAAGTCAGTAGGGGCCAGACTCTGGGCCCACTTCCACCCGCAGCTCAGGGAACCACTGCCCACCGTGTTGGGCAGGTGCTTTGCAGTCCGGCATCTTCTTCCTCCTCCTCTCTGGAAATAGAGCAGCCTCTCACATTGCCACGCAGAGAAATTTGGCTTTCAAGAGTGGCTACAAGGAAGCTGAATCTTCCTGCTAAGGGTTTCCCTGGGCTGGGAGATGCCAGCATGGGATCCCCTCATCACGCCGGTGCTGGCATTTCTAATACATGCACACTGAGCTGAGTAAAACAAATCAGGAGACAAATTGGGGCTTCACAGGCATGACTGGATACCCCGAAGGCAGCGCTCTGTGTGACAGATAACCCGATGTGACAGCGACGTGCAGCTCTCCGGCTACGCCTGATATTTACATTTGTCAAGCATTACATTTTAAAGGGTTATGTAAGTACCTGCATAATGGCCTCAATCTTGCTTCTTGGCCTATGAAGTCTAAAATATTTCTCCTGGCCCTTTTCCAAAAGGTTGCCAACCTATGTCCTAAAGGGTTGCTGAGTCCCCTGCCGTGGGCAAGCCTGGAGCTGCCAGCACAGCCATCGGCTTTTAACTCGGGCCTTTACCCTACGCAGTGGTAACAGGGAAAGGGTGGAGCACCCCCTGGGCCCCCACTCCATTCCCTCACTCAACGCCCCTCCTCCCAGCCACTCTGCAATGGCTCTTTGCTATCCCAGTGGTTGCGGGCCCTCCTATGCCCACTCCCGTTCTGTAACACTCCAGTTTGAAACCCAAGGTGTTTGATCAAACACTGTCCTGTGAGATTTGCTTTTTTTTTAATATATAAAAAATAATGATTTAATCTTATTTATTATTATTATTTCCCTCACTATAGGACACACGTATTCACCGGAGGGGGATGGAAGTGAGAAAACAAGCCACCCGCCAGGTCCAGGACTCAAACTATGGTCGACTGTGTGGGAGTCCAGCACCTTAACCACCACGCCACCTGCTGGCCCCAGTTTGCTTTTGCTTTTGCTTTACCCTTATTACTTCCCCAAAGAGACTGCACCCTTTGGCACACGAAGGAAGCACATCCTGTTCTCTTCTGTATCCCCTGAAACACCTAGGCAAGGCGGGGCCCAGGGTCGCTCCTGAGTAGATCGTAAAGCAGAGATCTAAACAGAAGATCCGTGCACACTGTCATTGTTAGAGACCTGGAGCTTCCACTGCATCAGGAGAGCCAGTGCTCTATCTACCCCAAACCTAGGAGTACTTACTCTAGGGAAAAATCCCTCAGGGGCTTGTACTATTCATTCTCTCCTCTGGGGAATGTCCCTGGCAGGGCACATTACAAGGAGCTGGGCTTTAAAGCAAGTGAATAGTTGCATTTTGCTTAGTTTTGTTTCTGAACTGACAGTTTCTTAGGGTTTAGCATGCACATGGGCAGGAGAAAAAAACAAGTGGTGAAAGAGAGGAGGCCAGATGCGTTGCCTTTCTCACATGAGGACACGGCTCCTTGCTTTCCATGTGTCGACTGGGAAAGCGGGTGGATTACAACCCCACGGATGGTTTCCTGCCGCGGGAGCCAAGAAGCAACATCTGGATTAAAAGCTTGGCAGAGGCCACTTGATTTAATCTCTGCAGGAAGGTAAAGGCTGTGGAAAATCAATGAGAACCTAGAAGGGGAGGGCGGGAGGAGGCAGGGAGGGGCTCCTTACCTCAGCTAGCCTGGTCAGAGCCTTGGCATTCAGATTCCAGTCACGCAGGTAAAGAGGCAACCGTGGTGGCCGGAGAGATAGCGGGCCGCATTTCCCGAATCATAGCAACAGGTGCACTGAGAGGAGGGAGAGATGGCACACTCCACACCGTCCAGTGGGCGCCCCTCCCAGGGCCCTGGGACAGATTCACATCACTGGCCTTCAAGACCTGGGGTGGCAACAGGGTTCCGGATGGATCCTCTTTGTGATCCACAGTCTCCTCTCCCTCCACTCGCTTGTTTCCTCTCCTCTGTCCCTGAAGATGCGTACACGCTTGCAACCACTTATCACACATTGTTTGTTTGTTACCTGTTTTGGGGGCAAGGGGTTTGTTGTTTTGTTTTGTTTTATTTTGCTATGGGGTAAAGAGAGAGAAAGAAAGAGAGAAGGCGAGAAATCACCCCCTTGTAGGTGGCCACACCACAATCCATTCTCCTCCATTCTCCTCTTGGGATTTTGGGCATGGACGCACACACACTCAGCATGTTTTTTTTCAAGGCACCAGGTGCAAGACTCGAACCACGCAGCCCATCAGGTGGGATCCAGCACCTTAACCTCCATGCTACCTGCTGGCCCCACTTACTACACACAGCTCATTTCACCTGAACCAACTCTTGCCAGTCACCTGGACACGTCGAACACCTGGTGCTTTGCTCTCTTGTGTTGTGAAGCCTCAGTAACAACCTGCAGGTCCAAGCTAGTGACGTCTCTCTATTTTAGCGAGAGCAGAGTCCTGGGAGTTGCTGCCCAGCCGCAAACACTGGGAGTGTGCTCAACTACACACACAGACTTCTAAGGTACAGAGGGCTTGGTGGTGACAATGTGTGCAGTCGAGCTATGATGAGGTGCCACGATTCTAGGCAGACTGCACAGTACAAAGAAGTAAAACGTCTCTGCCCTCCCTCCTGTGCTTTAGCGAGTAATGAAAAACAGCAGAGCCATCCTCCTGTCTCCTCAGATTTGCTGCTAACAGCTCCTGACTGGAAATGACTCCAGGCAGTCATAGACACTGGCTTTATTATTGTGGCAACGACCTTATTGAAACCCACAGTTCCCAGACGTCCACCCAGAAGATCCCTCCTCACCCACATGAGAATAGAACACATCCTCAGCACAGGCCACTGAGCCCACTGTGGTTGTGGGGCAGGAGTGATTATAGACGCCAGCCCACTTTCACCCTGGAGAGGAGGTAAAATAACTAGTCTTTGGATTACTCAGCAGAAATAGCAGCAGCAGGACTCCAGAGCCCCACGGCAGATGCCTGATCCCAGAGAGACGTTACAGCCAGGGCTACACCCACCGTGAAGTTTTGCCACAACCATCCAGCGCAAAGGGAACCAAGGGATTCAGTCTGAGTTCAGGAATTATTGAAGCAAGGCCACAATGTGTAGGAGGCTGCCTTTAATGTGACCAGGCAAACACATCTGCTGGCCTCTTGCTGCTGATGTCCACCATAAAGGCATTGCATGCTCTTCGGACATGCCACGGGGGCGAGGAAGGATATGCATGCATTTGCATGTGTATTCGTGTTTGTGTTTGTGTGTGTGTTCATGTGTGGTGAACAACCAAGCTCTGCTACCTCTGTGACTTCCACACCCAGGCTGCCTAAATTGTGAACAGGCTGTGTTTCTGCAGGAACTGGGTTTGTTTCTCAGAGAAGCTAGGAGCCATGTAAAGGTGGCTTCATACCTACAGACTAAGGAGTCTCAGAAAGCCAGGAGGCTACAGTGGGCCTGGGGCAGGGAGGTGGGGGACTGGCACCCTGTCCCTTTAGCTCCATCCCCACACCTGCTGACTTCAGGCAGCAGGGTCAGAGGTGTCAGGTCATAACCAGCCTGTGGCAAATAGAATTTACACCATCATCTACAGCAGGAGGACGGAGGGGCCCATCAGGAAGACGCTGAGCAGGCCTCTAACTCCACGTTTTCTCCCCTCGCCGAGGTGTTTGCACTGACGCCACAGCCAGAAACAGCAAGTGACAGACTATTCTCCTAAAGTTTTCAAAAAAAAAAACTAACACTTGCCTGAACTGAATAACATTTTATTTCCTGGGATTAAAAATAAAGAGAATGAATTATCGGAAGTCTTCCTCCAACATCACTAAAATGCTTTTCAAAGAAAGACGTGAGGATTGCTTAAGATGCACAGAAAAAGTCAACTTTGCCTTTTTTTTTTTTTTTTCCAGAACATTCCTTGCCCCAGTCACAAAGCACCGATACCACACCCAGGAAAAGGACAGGCTTGGAGACACGGGAACTTGGACACCTATCCCAGCATCTCCGGCTCTGCTCTAAGCATCACAGGGAGACATCATAAAACTCTTTTCTGTACATACAACATATATCTTGAAAATATATCCAAAATAGCTCCATCTGAACTGCAGTACAAAAAGCCACTCACCAATCATAAAAATAATATTTCCTTCCTATACACAAATAAATTCATATGTAAAGCAAACTTAGAACCCATGGGTTGCGGGAGGGTTACAAAATCTCTTGGGATCTAGGCTATTTAAAGCCATGTTGTTTGGGTTATACCTCTGCTGGATATAGGGAACTGCCCACAAATACATCCATCTTGCAGTGCTCACCAATTCAACAGCTCTTGCGTCATGGAATGCAGTACTTTTTAAAAATAGGTGACCCCTGGTGTCATGGAAAGAAGAGGAAAAAAGGGGGGGAGGCTAAGAAAGGGGGGAGAGCAGTGGAAGAAGAGGGAGAGACTAAGGTTACAGGGTGGGCTTGAAATACTCTGTGGTATAAAGCAGATCCCCATGCTCAGGAGGCCTGCCTGGTCCCCACCCACTGCCACGGGCTGCCTGGGTCTCTCTTTAGAGGTCTGTCTCCCGGCTGGTGTCCAGGCAGAGGGCATACAGGGACCTCCGCAGGTCCACATTGCTCTTGGCCTTGATGTTACACTTCTCTAGCGGGCAGCTGCCTCTCCGGGCACTGTCTGCACTCTCCAAGGACGCCCCTGCTTTGCAGAGGGAGCCCTTGGCGCAACTGGTCTTCCGTTGGCCTCCTCCGTCCAGCCCGGCCCCCTGGCTCTGGCTGCACGGCTCCTCCTTGAGGACCGCTTGCTCCTCGTGGTCCGTCTCGCGGTGGTAGAAGTAGTTGAAATTGGAGACGATGACCGGCACAGGCAGGGCGATGGTGAGGGCCCCGGCGATGGCGCACAGCGAGCCCACGATCTTGCCCCCCACCGTGATGGGCTTCATATCCCCATAGCCCACCGTGGTCATGGTGACCACCGCCCACCAGAAGGCATCCGGGATGCTGGAGAAGTGGGTCCCCTGGTTGTCAGCCTCCGCGAAGTAGACGGCGCTGGAGAAGAGGATGACGCCGATGAAGAGAAAGAAGATGAGCAGCCCCAGCTCCCGCATGGAGGCCTGCAAGGTCTTGCCCAGGATCTGCAGCCCCTTGGAGTGCCGCGAGAGCTTGAAGATGCGGAACACCCGGACCAGGCGGATCACCCTGAGGATGGCCAGGGACATGGCCTGCTGCCCGTTCTGGCCGCCCCCGCCCGCGCCCCCTGGTTTCTTGCGCTGCCAGCTCGGTGCCCAGGGTGATGAAGTAGGGGAAGATGGCCACCACGTCGATGATGTTCATGATGTTCCGAGAGAACTCGGCCTTGCTGGGGCAGGCGAAGAAGCGCACGAGCAGCTCGAAGGTGAACCAGATGACGCACGTGGTCTCCACAATGAAGAACGGGTCAGTCAGAGTCCTTGGCAGGAGCGGCGCCACCGTCGGGCCAGAAGGGGGCGCCACAGCCCTGCTGCCATTGACGCCTGCGGCTGGCGCTGGCGGCTGGTGGGGCACAGGGGGGTGGCGGAGCAGCTCGCGCTCATCCCTGAACTCGGGCAGCGTCTCCAAGCAGAAGGTGATGATAGAGATGAGAATGACCAAGACCGAGACGATAGCGATGGCCCGCGCGGAGCCCGAGCTCTCCGGGTACTCGAAGATGAGCCACACCTGGCGCTGGAACTCATTGCGGGGCAGGGGCTTCTCCTCCTCCTTAATATAGCCCTCGTCCTCCCGGAAGCGCTCCATGGCCTCGTCCCCCAGCTGGTAGAAGCGGATCTCGTCTGCGAACACATCCAGGGAGACGTTGACCGGCCTCCGCAGGCGGCCCCCCGACTGGTAGTAGTAGAGGATGCCGTCGAAGCTGGGCCGGTTGCGGTCGAAGAAGTACTCGTTCCGCAGGGGGTCGAAGTAGCGCAGGCGCTTGGCCGGGTCCCCCAGGAGGGTATTGGGGAACTGCGCCAGGGTGCCCAGCTGCGTCTCGAAGCGCAGCCCTGAGATGTTTATGAGGACGCGCTGGTGGTGAAGGGACCCCGCGCCCAGCGCCTGGTCCTCGGCTACGTCCAGGCCGGGGTCGCCTTCTCCCTCCTCGTCCTCTGCGGGCGGCCGTCTAGGCTGCAGCAGCTCCTGGGGCAGCGGTGGCAAAGGCCGCTCTCCCGGGTCCGCGCCCCTCTGCGCGCTGCGCCTCCTGGGCACCGGCTCTTTGGGACCGTCGCTGAGCCCAGCCGTCGGGGGACACTGGAGCCCTCCCCCGGTCGCCTGGCCGCAGCCTTCCAGTGTCTCGCCTCCTCCCCCGACGGTCATGGCACCGCCGTTCTCCAGGGGAACCAGGGCGATCTCCATGGCCCGGTGGTAGGGGGCATGCTGCGCCGCAGCCAGCCGGCGCCGCGCCCCCCACTCACGCTCGGCTGGCGCCTCTCGGTGGAGTCCTCTCTGGCGGGCGGCCGCCGGGCTCTGGAGCCGGCTGGGGCTGTTGGCGCGATCCCCTCGCTTGGTCCTGACGTCAGGAAGCCGCTGCCCTGCTCTCTGCCTCTGTCTGCACTCTGGCACCCGTTACCAGGCAGCCGGGTGCTTGGGCTGCGGGTGTCTCCCCGGAGGGCGCAGCTGGGGCCCCGGCGAGGGAAGGGAGGGGGCTCGAGACCGCGCAGCTCCGCGGAGGGCGGGAGCGAGGGAGGACGGGAGCGGAGGCTGGAGGAACAGGTTGTACCAGGAGCGCTGAAACTCCCAGGGCAACCGGATGAGAATAGCTCAGGATTTTAGTTCACCTGGGAACTCGCTGAAAGCGATGGACTCCAGGGGAAACGGGCTGCCTGAGGTTCCAGGGGTGAGGCTTTGAGCCGAGTCGGAGTAGGAGACAGAAAAGGCAACAGTCCTTTCTACATTTTTCCTTTGGAGGAATAGCTGGATCTCTTCTTTGATTTATAGACGCAGAAGAGGGCGCGGGGGCCTCTGGGCCTTGAAAGCACGCGCAAGCACGAATGGAGAAGTGGTTCTCTGCTGCATCTCCTACAAACTACAGAACCTGGGAACCTGAACCCTGCCTCTGCCCTGCCCCTGCCCCTGCCCTGCCCTGCACCCGGCCC